TGATTATGTGATTATGGGCTGATTTAGTTTATGGGTATTTCTAATTGTTAGTTTAAATGCAATTTAGAAGTGAATTCAATCAATAATTGTGGTTAAATTTAAGAATTGTAGTTACAAATGCAGTTCTACCCTTGTGCTTTTGGCTTGCTCGAGAGAGAGGTTTTAAAACTAAAATTATTGATTGATGGTCTGTGGGTATTGGGTTGTCATGGGTTCAGCTCGAGAGAGTGAATCCTAAACCCTTTTTCACACATTTAGCTCGAGAGAGTGAATAGACTAAAGTATAGGCTATTCTTATTTTGCATTCTTGTTGATGTTTTTGAGAGAAATCTACTTTATTCGGGGTAAATTGTTTGAGAGAAAGTTTACCTCCTCTTTAGTCTAGCTTACTCACTAATATTTAGTTATTTTCTAATAGTTGCAATTACCCATTTGTCTATATTATCTTATAATCGAATCACATCCCAAGAACCCGTCTTAATTATTATTGTTATTTTGTTCTGTTTGCTACTGTTGTAGTTGATAATTTCAAATCAAAACCCTCCATTTGACATTCGTGTCACCCCTGATTTGGATAATGTTTTTATTCGATAATTTCTATTCCTATGACTGATCTGACCATGTTCATACTTTCCAATTGAATCTCAAACACATACCGCTCCCTATGGGATTCGACCCCAACTTATTTAGTTGGGTATATACTGATTAACGACCAGTGACGCTTAGAATTGGATGAAGTGTCTTGGAAACATCGTTTAATCAAAGTGGCACTGCTGCCGGGGAGTGGTGTTGGTTAAGATTCTTTTGGTGAAGTTGAATTTTGTTCTTGTTATTCATAGTTGAATCTACTCATTTTTTGTTTTGGTTTCTGTGTGGCTGTTTGAAACAGAGGAAATGATTGTCAACGGAAGCAATGGTAGCCAAGTGGGCCACCAAGATGACATCGGCAAGCTCAACGATGTCAATGAGCCGAATGTTAATGACCCTCATCTAATAGGTGGAATTGGTGCCAATCAATTGCCTCCGACTGAAGGGAACGATGTGTTCCACATTACAAGCACCATGTTGCAGCTCTTGCAATTGAAAGGGTTGTTTGGTCGGTTGGCTCTGTGGATCCCCATAAGCATATAAGAATCTTTGTTGATGTTTGCGCACCATTCTCCTTTAAGAACATATCCCAAGGGTCGGTCCGGTTGAGGTTGTTCCCATTTTCTGTAATGGGAGAAGCATATAAATGGTTGGCTGAATTGCCAAGAGACTCCATCACCTCGTGCGACGAGCTTGTCACCGCATTTCAAGTGCGTTTTTTCCCTCCTTCGAAGATGATGACACTTCGGGACAACATCCAATGCTTCAAGTGTTTGGAAGGTGAGTCAATTCATGAGACTTGGCTAAGATTTAAGAAGTTGGTGCTGCAATGCCCAACTCATGGTTTGCCCAACAAAATTTTACTGCAATATTTTTTCCTAAGCCTTGATTCGGTGAACAAGGGCATAGCTGACCAACTTTCTCCGGGAGGTTTGATGCAACAACCTTACATTATAGCAGCCCAACTTTTGGATAGTATGACAAAAAATAATCGGGCATGGTACACCTGGAAATATCACGTTTCCTCTCACACTTTTAAATTGACAAAGGAGCAGCTTGAGAAAGAACAAGAGAGGGACCAAATCATGCAAAGATGATGACACAACTCGATATTTTGGCCAAAAATGTCATGGGAGCTGGTTCTAGAAGTGTCAATGATGTGAGTATTGGGTGTGCACGCCCTAATGATGCCAAGTTTGAAGCGTTGTACGATGAAAAAGTGAACTTCCTAGCCAACCAAGGTGGAGGTTATCGTGCTAATTACCCAAGGAAAGGTGGTAACCAAGGTTGGAACAAGGATGAAGGATGGAGGGATTATGATAGAGAGTAGAGGGATCGTAACCCCATTTGGATGGAAAGAGACAGGGAGAATGATAGGTATAATCCTCCCCACGAATGTCAAAAGCCCAAAGATTCTGAGGGTGGCCGATCCGAGGATATGCTCTCTCGTATTCTCAACAAGGTTGAAAGGTCCAATAAAATTTTAATTGAAGATGTATCGACCCTTAACCAGACGGTTATTTCTCATTTCGTCTCTATCAAGCAGTTGGAGACCCAAATGGGTCAAATTGTTTCTCACTTAAACTTGGGACAACAAGGGGGTTGCCTAGTGACACTATGGTAAACCCCAAGAATGAAGTTTGAGCGAGGACTTTCGTCGTGCCACGACACTAACTAAGGAGTTGATTGGGAGGCAACCCAAGTTTTTATTTGCTCTCTTTTTGTTTCTGGAATAATCTTGTGTTGATTGTGCAGGTTGAAGTGTTGAATATGTTTGAAAAGTGTAGGTTGGCAAGCAAAATGTCCAGTTGGTGACTCGCCGAAGAGGTTGGCGAGCCTGACTTAGACCACCATTGGACTCAAAAAATCTAAAGATGGACTCTTTAAAACTCGGCGGGCCCGTGGCCTAGTCGTTGGATAACCGAATAGGTCGGCGATCCTGACTTAGTCTGCCGTTTGAACCCGCACATTAATTGGAGGTCCTTTAAAACTCGGCGTGTCGTTGAGTGGTTCGGCGAGCAAAATAATGTCGCCGAAAAAGCAAGAACTGGACAGGATTCAAAAGGCCAAAGGTTTAAAATTTCAAACTCTCACATTCCCTCACTTTTTAACTTCACAAGATCACACCCGCACTCTATATTACCTATTTTCCTGCATTTTCTTGTTTTTCGGTCATTGATCCTATGTTTGGAGTTGGACACTTTGCCGCCTAGCATCACAAATTTATATATTCGGCATTGAAGGTTGGTTTTCTGAACCCAAACTCATAAATTATCAATTAAACTCAATTGCATTGTTATAAATAGTTTTGAAGTATGATGGGACTCACTGAATTTGTATTTTTATGTTTGCCTTCCCATTTTAATTTCAATGTCATGCTTTGAATGCCTAAGTTGTTGATTTCCAGAGTTTTGTGCCTTAAAATTAATCAAATTCTTTTAGGTTGTGCTTAATTGTTGTTGGGTCTAGTTAAGGGAAGTCCGAGTAAACCATATTTGTTATAAATGACGTAATTTGCCCAGTGATGGAGCATTTGACGTTAATCGTAAGGGCAAAAATTGTCAAATGGCCAATTTGGGCCAAACCGGGAGAAGTCTGAATACCCCAGTGGCATGGGTCTTATGGGTCTGAGTCTAATTGAATAAGTTTATTCTTTGATTTTGTTTTCGGGGGCTATGGGGTTGATTTTGGAAGTTGGGGTAGAAAGTAGGCACGTTGGGCAGTTTGGCGAGCTGGGTCGAGCTCGCCGAACCACTCGGGTGTTCGCCAAACCCACGGTGATCACCTTTTATTTCATGATATTTGATGATTTTGGTTCTGTAACTTTCGGCGAGAAGCCTGAGTTTGCCGAGTGCACTCGGCGACTCACTGAAAGTCTTCTCTGATCACCCTTTCTGCCCCCCTAACCCCTAAAATGCACTGTAGCATTAGGTGGACTAGTGTTTACTCACCGAATGAGGTCGGTGAATCACCAAAAGGCTTCCCATCGCCGATATGTCATTTTTCTGGAAACTTTTTTAGCCAATCCTTTCGGTGAGCTCAATCTAACTCGCCCAAGTGATTCGGCGAGTCTGCAATATAATTTATGTGATTTTTTTTGAAATGTTTCTAACTTTCTACGATGTTTTTGCAGAGATAGCTAGAACAAATTTAGACATGCCGCCCCGCAAAAAAGCACGGGGAATAGTCATCAACGAGGGGGCAGCTACCCCTTCCAAAAACGTAGGGAAATAGCCTCCAAAGGGTGGAAAAGGAAAGGGCAAAAAGCCCATATCTGAAGTTCCAGAGTGCAACTCTGGCAGCGAGGGAGAGTCCTTTTACTCCCTAGCTGCATTTTTTGAGTCGGATGACGACCAGCCCTAACAGTCCTGGCAGGCAGAAAATCTTACTAGGTCTCGCCCAGACTCATCGAGAGTTCCAGAGGCCACCCCTCATACAGCTGCTACAGTCCTAACTTAGGCACCGATTGTGGCCCTAGTGCCACCAGTGAGGGTCCTCATCCCCGGCTACTCAATAGATTAAAAGTTGAGGGACTAAGGACTATTCTGGAAGAGAATTTGATGTCCATAGAGGGCTTAGAGGGAAAATACTCTCTATTATTGGACACACTAAGGTGGCATAGGTTCAATATCTTCACCAGGCCCTGAGGCTCGTATATCCCCACCTGGGTCCATAAGTTCTATTCTCCTTATGGTGTCTGGTTTCTCAGGGGAAGAACAAGGCCAGTGCCTTCAGACCGGTGAAGTCTGTCATGGTCCAAGGAAAAGAAGTTGGGTGTAGCAGCGATCACATAAATGTCGTCTTTGAGAGAGGCACAGGGTTCGAGCATGAATATGAGGGCCTAGCAACAACTAAGTTCCTGGATGACCTAAAGGGCTGGCTTGCCCCCTTTATTTCTCTTAGCACCCCAAGGTAGATTGAGGAGGGAGTCTAGATAGAGAAGAAGGACTTAAATGTTGTTCCATGGTACTGGTTCAGATTTATCAGCAGTTCCATCATGTCTTCATGGAATGAGCCCATTCTCTGCCATGCAAAGGCAATCTATCTAGGGTCGATCATAGCATAGAAGCGGGTCAACTTGGCATTGGATATTAAGTAGGAGATGTCCATAAGGGCCAAATAGCTTCTGACATCCCTTCCCTTCCCGGTCTTGATTACAGGGCTAGCGTGCTGGAGTTCCTCGTGATGAGAAGAGGGATATTGAGGTCACTCCTACATCCTCCACAGACATCCTGCGTATAGAGGCCGAGTACACTTGGGAGGAGGCAGACACGAGAAGAGTAGCTCTAGTGGATGCATTCCTAAAGGTGGACGTTGATTATATACCTACATAGGCATATGTGCCTACTCCGGCCTACGGACCTTCAAGTACTTCCCAGTCCACCAAGATCACTCAAGCCATGATCCTGAAGATGGGGAACTTAGCCCATTCTGCTGGTGCTAGGGCTTCCCGATTAGAGGTTGTTGAACCTTGGATAATTAAGAGTGATATCCTAACTGCTCTTACACCCCTCCGAGCATCTATTGACACTCTCACTACGAGAGTAGAGACTTGTGAGAGTCGACTATGGGCCACTTCAGAGGTGACGGCTTTGAAAGCCGAGGTTACAAATTTGAGGAAGGATGTGGACTACTTGAAGTCCACTGACTTCACTTCACTATTGGAGGCAGTAGATGATATCGATGCTCCAGCTACTTCTGATATTCCTCCGACTACCACCGGAGATATACCTATGGAGGATGTGGCAGCTGCTGCATCGGAGGCGAAGACTGATGAGGAGCAGCTTGGGGAGCGAGATGCTACCGTATATAATGATCTCGCCGACCTTGAGGATGTGATGTTTGAGCCTGCCCGCCAGACCTCCTAGAGAGAAACTACCATGGTTGGGTCTAGTGGAGCTAGTACTGCTGCTGTGACTTCGGGCACTGATGCCCAAGATCAGAGTGTTACACCGGGAATTGATGCCCCGACATATGGAGAGATTGTGTAGATAGGACTCTTTTTTACCTCCTTCTCTCTCATTTTTATTCACTTTCGGATATTTTGTCGCATTTGAGGACAAATTGCCTTTTGTTTTTGGTGGGGTGAGGTATTTCCATACCTACCTCTTATGATTATTATTTTTGTACATATTGGGTTTTTGTGCTATAAATTTTGTTTTGACACTGTTTTGTGGATGTTTGAGCTTCTGGCTCCGTATTTTGAATGCAAATGTTTTTTGACCCTAATAAAAGTTTTGCCACCTCTTAATTGTGTTTAATTGTGGTTGTTCTTGTGCAAATATGAGAATCGATTATGATCAATACCAATGACTTGAATAGTTCTCCTAATCGAACAAAAATGAATGTGTGCCTATGATGAGGCCAAATGAAGTTGCGTAGACAATATGTGAACATTTTACATCTCGTTGTGACTAGCTGGTTATCGAATGAGTCTCTTGTGATGAACATTGCACTCTAACCAAATTGTGGAGTTTTGTTTGATATTGGTAGCAATACCTTGTGTGATGAGCTTATCGTGAGCCTTGTGTGATGACACCTAGAATTTGACATGTTGGTCCGGTTGACTAAGTGATGCAAGCTCTTGAAATGATCTTAGGCAGCAATTTTGAAGAGTGAACCAATTTTACAATATACCTCTTTTGTGGCAAACCTTGTGAGATGTGTGAACTTTGCTTGAACACCTTTTGAGCCTTATCCTTTTCTTGGAAGAAACTTGATGAAATTGTAACCCCTCTCTATCCATTCACCCATAATCCTCATGAGGTGTGGTTTGTTTGAATAGACAACTTAGGCCAAAAGCCTAAGTTGGGGGTGAGGTTAAAAGAGAAGGTAAATCAAGAAGTGCAAAGAAGTCCTCCTTGATCCATGGTTTTGAGAAACATGGAACCCCTCCATACAAAAAAAAGAGAAAAAGAAAAGAAGAATGAAAAAGAAAAGGAACGAAAAACTTGAGAAATAAAGTTGTGAAAGTTGCAAAAGAAATAGGGTGTACGGTATTCCATGAGAAATGAATAATGGGGTGAATTTTGAGCTTAAATGAGAATGTTGAAGAAAAAGAAATAAAGTGATGTTCATACCACATTTCATAAGGATAGCAGCCACTGAGCCTAAATGACCATACCTTTACACTCAACCCCGTTACAAGCCTTGAAAGGACCTTTTTGATTTTGAGTGAGCTGAAGCGGATGTCGATTGGAAAATAAGGGCAAACGTATAGGTTAAGTCATGCATGTGTTCATATTTTTGAGTGTGAGAGTTGTTTGTGATTTCGGAACTATAAATTGTTGAACAATTGTGTGTGACTATGGAATCATCTTTGTGTTAGGGCATTTGAGTACCTTTGTTGAGCTTGAACTTGCATTTAAATCAAGTATTATGAAGTTGAGAATCTTTGATAATGGTGAGTCACAACTTGAATCTTTTAGTGCACAATTGATCATTGCATGAGTAAGTTGAGTCTTGTTGTATGCATTCATAATTGAGTCTTTTGTAACACTATTTGAGACATCCTTTTTGAACAGCGGAACCTGAGTTTTACCTAAGGACTAGAAACAGTTTAAGTTGGAGTGTTGATGAGTCCGAGATTTGGACTCATTTTGGGCTTTATTTATATAAATTTAATGTCTTCAAAATGCTCATTTTATGCCAATAACTGATATAAAACCCTTGATTTCCAGGTATATGATTGAGGAACAAAGCAAGGACAATAATTTGCAAAATACAACGAAGCAAGCTGAAAGAATGAAGGAACGCAAGCCTGGTGATCGCCAAGTCCACTTGGCGAGTCGCCGAACGGCTGCTTGACCGCCTAAAGTTCTAGTGTGCCATGCCCTAAAGGAAAGAACTAAGTTGGCGAAAGAAGGGAGCAATCGGGGGATTGCCGAGTGGTTCCGCGATGCAGTGTTGGATCGCCCAAAGTTATAGATCTTGAGGATGCTAAAGGCCAAGGTAGACGGGTGATGAAATTTACCAAAGGGAGGATCATCGAGTGGTTCGGCGATCCTGACTTACTTCGCCGAGTGACTCTTCGCAACATATTTTTGGCAACTATAAATACATTTTTGAACATTTAGTTTACTATCAAGTACTCTTTAGAATAGATTATTATTAAGCTTTGAACTGTGAGACAAGTTTCCCTTTAGCTTTGAAGAATTGAAGTTTTCACTTTTGAAAAATTGGAAGTCGGTCTTTGAGATTCTTTGATTTGGACCTTTGTAAAGACGAAATCAATCTTACCTAGTTGATGGAAACTTAATTTGGTAACGATTTTTATCTTTTTATGATGTCTATCTTGTTATCTTGGGGTGTGATGATGTGATTATCGACTGATTTCGTATATGGGTATTGCTAATTGTTAGTTTAAATGCTATTTAGAAGTGAGTTCAATCAATAATTATAGTTTAATTTAAGAATTATAGTTGCAAATGCAGTCCTAACCATGTGTTTTTGGCTTACTCGAGAGAGAGGTTTTAAAACTAAAATTATTGATTAATGGTGTGTGGGTATTGGGTTGTCATGGGTTCATCTCGAGACAGTGAATCCTAAACCCTTTTCCACACATTCAGCTCTAGAGAGTGAATGGACTAAAGAGTAGGCTATTCTTATTTTGCATGCTTGTTGATGTTCGAGAGAAATCAACTTGATTTGGGGTAAATTGTTCGAGAGAAAGTTTACCTCCTCTCTAGTCTAGCTTACTCACTAATATTTAGCTTTTTTCTAATAGTCATTACCCATTTGTCTATATTAGCCTATAATCAATCACATCCCAAGGTCCCATCTCATTATTTTTTATTTCCTATTGTTTGCTACTGTGGTAGTTAATAATTTCAAACCAAAACCCCCCATTTGACATTCATGCCACCCCCTGATTTGGATAATGTTTTTATTCGATAATTTTTATTCATATGACTGATATGACCATGTTCACACTTTCCTATTGAATCTAAAACACGTACCACTCCCTGTGGGATTCGACCCCAACTCATTTAGTTGGGTTATATACTAAGTAATGACCGTTGATGCTTAGAAATGGTTGAATTGTCTTTGAAACGTCATTAATCAGTCCTCACGAGTATACCATGCTTTGTTGATCTTGGTCCTGCCATCGAGAAGCTGGGATGCTATCTCATAAGGTTGTTTTACTATACCCCCGAAAACAAGTTGATCAGAAACACCTTTGTTTACCGAGTCAAGACTCATATAGAAGTGTTGTAATAACACGTTGTTTGGCAGTCCATGAGTCGGATATTGAAGTACCAACTTCTGAAATCTCGGCCACGTTGCGTGGATTGCCTCACCTTCCAAGAGTTTGAACCCTTGGATAGTATCTTTAAGTGTCATCATCTTTGACAAGGGAAAGAAACTTACAAAAAACGTTGTGGTAAGTTAATCCGAATTGGTGATGCAGTTCCTCGGTAGTCAGCTAACCATTTGGTAGCTTGACCCATCAAAGAGAATGGGAACAACCGAAGGCAAACTGATTCTTGTGATATGTTCTTGTACGAGAACAGATCACACACGTCCACAATGTTTTGAATATGCTCGTAAGGATCTTCATGGGGTAGCCCTCCATATAGTACTTTCATTTACAGGAGTTGTAGTATTATGCTAGTGACATGGAAGACAACATTCCACTTAACGGGAGGTAGACGTATCGCACCAACACCGCCCTATTGAATTGGGTCATTAACATCGTTCAGATTTTGATTTTCATCTTGGTGGCCAAGTTGGCTACCATTAATCCAGTTAACGTTCATTTCTTTCTTTGTTCAAACAAGCCAACACAAACACGAAACAAAGTAAGTCGATTCAACTTCAACACACAAAGATTAAAACTCAAACATTAATAATAGAATTCTAAAAACGACTCCCTGGCAGTGGCGCCATTTTTGATAAACACTCAACCACACCACATCCAATACTAGTTGTGGGTGAACGTAATATAGTATAAAACCCAACGAAGAGTTGGGGTCGAACTTACAAGGAGCGGTACAAGTTTGAAATCAGTTACGAAGTTACAAATGTAATCTAATTGGTGGTAGGAATAGAAATTATCTTAAATAATTAGTTAAATTGAAAGGGGTGACAACAAATTTCAGATGGGGGGATTGATTTATCAAATAACAACTAAAACAATTACGAAAATAGGGGTTTCAACAATATTGAGAGGAATTCCAGGGATGTGATCTATTATAGGCTAATTATGCTATATGGGTAATTGAAGTTTATTAATAATTTTTTGAATCACTCTGGGTAGGCTAGACTATAGGTGCAATAATTTTCTCTCAAACAACTATTACAGTTCAGGTAAGTTCTCTCGAACCTCGACAAGCTTAACACTACAAAAAGAAACCAAAATCTTAATTTATGTACTCTATCGAGCAAGATAGGTAGCAGCGAGTTAAGATTCTCTCTCTCGAGCTGAACCCATAACAACCCACACACTACAATAATCAATCGATAACCTTGGTTTTAGAACCTCTCTCTCGAGCAAGTCCAAAACACTAAGCTAAAATTGTATTTGCAACTACAAGTCATGAATTACTACTTAGCTATTGTAATACCCCATATCCGAAATAGAGGGATATGCATGTTAGAAATCCAAGGTACCACCTCACAGTGACCAACCACGCCCCGTGGTTTGGTCCACGCCCTTTAAATGAGCCTATAGATGGGCACTCTGAACACTGCCTAAGGCAGAACCACGCCACGACCCATGCCCCGTGGATGGGTCCACGACCCATGGTTGGGGGTGTTGTGGGTGGCCAATAGATTCTCTGACCATGAACCGTGATCGAACAGGACGGACTGTAGGTCCATCCATGACCCATCAACGTGGTCTCGTGGGTCAAGCCTGGTCGACTAA